GAGTGTTAATGTATTTTCACTGTAGTTCATTTGGCAGCTTATTTCTGAAGTTCTTTTTTAGACTTTGTACATCAAAAACCAGTCAATGTTGAAATTTTTGATGCTTTTTTTAAACAATAAGTATTAGAAACAATACTTTATTTTGTGATTTTTTTTCTGTTAAGTAGTCATTGTTTAGCATAATAAAACTCAAGATTAATAACTAATTCATCAGTAGAAACATTCTAAACAGTTTCTAAACATTCTAATAGACTCGCTTTTATGTGCTTGATGACAAAATTAGTCTTGTGCTCCAAGGGCTATGGTCCCAATAATGTCATTTCTCTTTGAATCCTTTTGAAATGGGATCTGCCACCTTATCATTCCTATCCTCACTCACCACCCATGGATCCCCAGGGGGTTCCTCGGATGTGCCAAGTCCTTTCCAGCTCACAGGATCTTGCTTTTTGCTGCTCCTTTTTCCAAAATGCTTTCATCTGACTCGCCTGTACTTTTCAGAACTCAGGTAAACTTCTTTACATTTCCCTTGCTTGCTCTGCTGCAAGGAGTTTCCCTTAGCTGTATTCATCTCATCGACCTCTTACTTCCCTTACAGTTCTACGTGCATCTGCTTTGTGTCCTCCAGCAGGATGTTGGCTCTGTGGCAGCTGTCAGGTCTGCTGTGGTCACTATATGCCCAGGAAGCAGTCAGTGTCTCGTTCAAAATGGGTATGGAATAAACAACTGAATCCTCTGTGGCTGCCAGCTTCCCAGGGTACAGGTTGCTAGTGTAACAGGATACTTCAGGGATGCCCTGTGACCACAGCAGAAGGAACAGCATAGGACTTTGGAGTCTAGGTCATACAACGCATTGCTGTCTCTACCTTAGTCCTGTAGCACTCGTTCCAAGAGTAGCTCACACTAGGTCCCTGGGACATGGAGCAGCCAAGCGTGGAGGCCCACATGGAAAGGCCCCGAGGCCCCCAGCCTCCAGCCAGCTGACTGTCCCGTGATGAGCTGACCACCCCAGCAGGTCAGCTGAGACTGCTGCCCTCTCTGCTCTCTGCCCAAAGCCTCAGGAGACAACCTGAGCCAGAACTACCCAACCGAGCGATTCCTACACCAGTGTCCTAGTTACTTTTCTTTCATTGCTGAGACAAAATACCTGATACCCAAAAGTAAGGAAGGAAAGGTTTATTTAGCTCATGGTTTGTAGAGGTTTCAGTCCATACTAAGCTGGTTCCAAGGCAGGATGGCACATGGCAGAGGGGCAAGAATTCATGGTGGTGGTGGAAGATAGCAAAACCAACAAGAAAGCCAGACAAACCTCTTTCTGTCCCTTATACTGTAACCAGTCTACCTCCTGGGATTGGGATGGTGCTGATCCAATAGTGGACTGATCTAGCAATCACCCACCCTTAATCCCAGCATTCTCAATCCCAGCATTGTGCTAAAAATCAACCATACACTCTAGATTCAGCCACCTCTGAAAAAACCCTAAGATGGCATGGTGGTCCTACAGTGGCACTGACTATCTGGATTTGACTTCCCCTCAGCTTCTATGGAAGGGGCCAGCATCCGCTCCAATCTCCCCAAACCCTCACTGCCCCCATCCTTAGTGTCCCCCACACCATGATGCCCCCTCTTCTCTATGGTGTGAGTCTGACCCATACACACTGCAGTCCTGGCTGTAGGAGGCCCAGGTAGCCCCCATCTCTCTACCGCCCAACTTGTCATTCTCTAAGGAGCCGATGTGTCCTATGTTGTTTTCCCAATGGGAGTGTAAGTTCCTTGCACTTGAGGTCCTTGCCTGGAATTTCTGTATACTTCTCAGGAGGTTAAAATAGTAGTAAGTGGTTCATGTTTAATTGGTCTGCTAAGATATTTACTGGGCTTATAGATTTGCAAAGAATTAGAAATTATCTCATAAAATAACCAACAGATTTTTCATCATATTCTGTAGGGACTTAAATTCAATATATCAATACTTGATGAAAAATACCTGTTCCATGTTATGCCTAAGATGTTTGATATTCAGACAGATACTGAGGTTAAGCTTAACAGCATAGGTTGTATGGTAATAACAATAAGCTTGTCTTTTGGAGGGTTAACAACCTAAGTTTGTAGACCAAAACTTAGAGAAAAAGGAGGGCTGCAAGTAAAGCCAACATTTTGGCCCTAGCTTTCCAAGGTCAATTAAGACTCAGGACATATGAGAACTTGTACTGTAACATCATATAACTCGGCAGTGTCCCAAATTTTCTGATCAAGGAGATTATGGGGCCAAAGAGGAAAGTGATCGATGATGTAGAGTGTGCCTAAGGAGAGTCACATGGAGAGAAAACATTCTCTCAGGCTTTCACAGGGAGCACATTGGCCAAGCAATGGCCATGAGTCATCCACATGGCTGACACTGACAAAGGTTCTACAATCTGAGGTACAGGATCTCAGGATAAATCCTGAGGGGATTTCACTGACCTTATCAAACCCAAAAGCTACAACTCTTGTTGCATAGGTCCTGCTTTATCTTGTTCTTAACCATCCAGCAGAAAAGTATAAAAACAAAATATAAGAAGTAAAGCCATGCTGTTATGTTGAGCTGTAAGGGACTCAGGTCAACAATTTTTGACATTGCCAGTCAAGCGGAAGACCCAAGACTATTAAGGGCTACTGGACTCTTTTAGAATATTTTGCTGAGTTAACACACCTATAATATTCAAATGATGGAACTAAACAAAAAAGGGGATACAGATAAATGTCCATTTTGTATCTGTATATTCAAAGTGGATAGGATAGATATGTAGTTACATTCTCTTAATGAATAGAGGGATTTGTTCTAATAGTGTTTGTAAATAGGATATCAAGTCCACATCTTGTACAGCAATTAACCACTAGGAATAATGTATGCAATGTGTTAATTATTGAAATTGTCCTACCAGTTTGGTTTGAAACTGTCTCATTACTATTTGTTTCTCAATAAAATTATGGGAAAAAATGAAAGAAAAAAAACCAGAGAACACCTGTCTGTCTATCTGTCTGTCTGTCTGTCTGTCTGTCTGCCTGCCTGCCTGCCTGCCTGCCTGCCTGCCTGCCTGCCTGCCAAGATTTCCTCTTGTCAGAGGAATTGTGCAATAGGTCCTAACTTGCTGCCACTTTTGGAAGCCAACCTGAATTCCCTCCTGCAAAAGAGATTTCACAGTGATCTTGAAGCATGCACAGCTCTTCTAGTTCGCAGGGCCAGGAGTCCTGTGGACCCTTCCCAACCACCATCCTCCTCTTTGCAGCTTTGGCTCCACCATGTCTCCTGTACCTTTTGATCATAGCCTGTGGTCCTTAACCCAGTTCCTCTACCAGAGTCTTGCCAGGGCCCTGCCCCAGCCTCATCCCAGCTCCTCCTTCCCGTAGTGATCCTCTTTCAGCCCCTGCCCCCTCCTCAGGTCTTCTGCTCTCTTCCTTTTCAGAGAAAACACCTCTGGCATTCAGGACCTGGCCTTGCCCCACTCGTAATTTCTTACCCCAAGCCCCTTTGTCAGTTTGGCTCTCATATCAACTTTGTCTTCTGCCACCCTGTCCCTAGCTTGGCTCTCCTAAGACTGCCTGGTCCTCTGCGGTTCCTGGTCTTCCTTGACCTGCTGTCTGCTCCTCCTGGGTCTCAGTCTGGCCACCTCCTTCCTGCCAGCTCTGCAGGAAAAAGCCTACAGCTTTTTGCTCTGGGGAGTAGACACAGAAGGGCAGACACCCCCACCCCCACCCCACTGTTATCTGCTAGTTTTCTTTCTTTTTTTCTTTTTAAAGAGTACCACATTCTCACATTAAAGAAAACCATTCAGTCACTAGTAGTATCCATGACACTTGGCTGAGACAGAGGCTAAGCTGAGCACACTTAGGAATGGAGTGGTCAGGGTCTGAACTGGGCTCCTCTTACTCCTACCTGTGTGTTCTGGGACAGTTCATCAGTGGCCTTTGCCACCTGGGATTTTCTGGTGTAAACAGGGACAGCAGCAGCACCTACCTCTGCTGCTGTGGAACTGAATACTAAACACCTGCTGCAGTGTAGAAAGCCCCACATGCTGGAGTTTGCTCAGTTGGCCCACAAAGTGATTCGTTCAGTGAAAAAAAATCCAGGGCACCCCTGACTACGGGAACATGAGCAATGTTTACATTGCTGTCATGCGACACCCTCGCGTGACCTCTGTACCCCTCAGTGCACTCGCATGTGTCACAGCACAAGGAAATGCTACAGGCGGCAGATAGGCATTCTGTTTCATTGTGTTTGCTGCACTCCTGGGATTGACCTCAGAGCTTTTACAGCCCCAGCTCTTTTTATTTTTTATTCTGAGACAGGATCTCACTAAGTCATGCATTTGCCTAGGGTGGGCTCAGATTTGGGGTCCTTCTGTCTCTGTCTTCCAGAGTTCTGGAATTACAGGGATGAGCATGCATACCTGTCTATAGAAGTATTTACTTATTTATTTATTTATTTGGTCTTTTTGAGACAGGATCTCCCTATGTGGTTCAGGCTAGCCTCAAACTCATTTTGTAGATTAGGCTGGCCTCAAACTCTCTTCGATCTTCCTGCCTCAGCCTCCCAAGTACTGGAATTTCAGGCTTGTACCACCAACTTGGCAGCTATAGAAGTTTTAAACCATATCCTCCCATGTGTCAAATAATTGTCATAAAGTCATTTAAAACAGAGAATAGGAGAAAAGTTCCCCCAACAGCGTGTTCGTGCACACTTGACCTTGGGGTATGCTCTGTGCCTCACAGAAGCGTGTTCATACTTGAACCTGTCTCCTAAGGACATGCGCACATTGTCATGGCTGCAGGTTCTGACGCAGGGAGCCAGGGGCAGAGGGAGGGAGGACACGGGGCAGCCTCTCACTGCTCCCTCCACACCTCTCTCTGACCTCCCTGCACTGGCCGTAGACACGCCCCATGAGCTGGCAGGCCCGCCCGACAAGCTCCCCTGTGGCCTAGACAAGGTCAATTTCAGCAAGTCAGGAGCACTGGAGGGAACTTACCAATCTTGTAAAATGGCAGTGAATAGTCTCTTTGGTAAGTGGTTTCCTTATACCATGGTTCAGCAGGCTTTGAACAGCTTCGAAAACGAATGTATTGAATGAGCGTCTGTTGGTCTAGTTGAGGTTGACACAGAGTTTTTCTTTCGGATGAAATGGTTGAGTCTGTGAATGGTCTAAGTAGAGACAGAAATACTTTGCTGAGTATCCCCAGGGAAGAAAAGTGGCCCATTTTCTATCAGTGGCAGTGCCCAGGAGGCTAGCAAGGCAGGGACAACAGAATCCCATTGCCCCAAGGCCACCACTGGTAAAGTCAGGATGGATCCAGGACCTTGGTCCTGGGCATTCCTTTCTGCTTCTCCCCCTTCCCAGCCATGGATCACGTAGGTGACCAGTGTGACGCCCCCTGCTCTGCCCATGCCTGCCCTGTGCTGTCCTCCAGGTCTCCACCGAGCCTGTGCCCCCCATAATTTTCCTTCCCATGGATGTTTTAGTCTTTCAAGGGCCTGGTGCATTTTTTTTTTTTTTTTAATTTTTTAGCGCAGCTTGGTGTTGACAGACCTGAAATCAGGTGTAAACTTCCTGTGCCGCTACTCTGACAGGAATCCTCCCAAGAGAAAAGCAAGCAAGATAACAACAAGATATCTTCATACAGCGTGGGAGTGTTCATTCATTGGTACAACTTCAGTGGTATGTATTAGACTGGAAAATGTGCATATGGTTTGTCTCAACAGTTCTAGCAATTAGGGATATCAATAAAAACTTAGCTCTAAGAATGCTTACCAAATGTTTTCATGATAATAGAAAGAGTATAAACACCCTCATTAAAAAAAAAAAAAAAAAAAAAAGAACTACAGGCAGGGATGAAGCTCAGCAGCAGGTACAGCATGGTGTCTACCTGGTAAGTGTGAGGTCACAAGTTCTATTCCCAGCACCAAAAAAAAAAAAAAAAAAATCAAAACGTAAGGATAATCTAAGGTGGTGGGTAGCTACTAAGTACCCTGACTTGGGTAATTTGGACATTTTATTGAAACATCTCCCATAAATATATACAATTTTTGTGTCAACAAAAATAAGAAATATATTTTTAAAAAGAAAAATTATTAAATTAGTCAATAATATAAATATAGATAGACTCGCTGTACCACCACTAAAAGTGATAAGGTAGAATTACAACTTTTGACATAGAAAGAGTCCATAATATAATATTAAATTTAAATGAAGGTTTTTTTGGTTTTTTGAGACAGGGTCTCAGGCTGGTCTCAAACTCCCAGAGATCCTCCTACCTCAGCCTTCCAAGTGCTGGGATTACAAGCATGTACCACCACGTCCGGCTCAAAACAAAGGTTTTGATTAAATTGAACCCTTTATATGGATGAACTGTATGGCACGTGAAGTGCCTCCACAAAACTGTAACCACGCCCAGCGTTCCACAGCCCCGCCCTACCTTATTTTGGTACGCACCTGAAAGATTCTGCATGGCTATCTCTAGATTATGGCCTTACTGGTGGTTTTCAATTTTTTTTACTATCAATGTTTTCTAAATATTTTAATAAATGTATATGTTTAAAGTATAAAACAAGTGAGGTGAACTGTTATACGTGGGAAATATCTTAAATGCTATCTGAGATTTAGGGACAGATAATTCAGTTAGACAAAAAGACAGTGTCACATGGTGCTAGCACCATGATGACATCATAGTTACAAAGAGGGGGCTACTCTTGCTCCATGGTAGTGAATATTAGCATGTGTGAGGCACTGGGTTCAGCTCCTAGCACCCCCAAAATCAATAATGTTTGTTTAGTTGGGTAAAAACTTGATTGCAATGTGTCTCCTTTAATACGGGCCTGGGAGATAGTCAATAGGATAAGTGCCTACTTGGCAAGTTGAGGGTCCTGAGTTCAATTCCCAGTATCACTCACACACAAAAAATGTTAATAGAAATGGAGTGGCTCTCCTTGATGTTCAGAAAAGACAGGAGTAAGAACATGACAGTGCTAGTGGGATAAGGAACTAGGAGAGACTCAGGGTGGCCGGGGGCCGGGAGTTTGGGGGCTCAGGGAGTGGTGGTGCTGGGCTGGGGAGGGCTGGAGAGGCCTCAAGACCTCCTACCCACCTCTGCTTATTCTGGTTTTTTATGTATTTGGTACAGGGTCTCACTACCATAGCTGGGACTCACAGTGATTCTCCTGTTTTCAGTCTCTCCAGCACTGGGACCATAGGCATGCGCCACCACGTCAGCTCTTGGTGGCCATCTCAGCATACCTGGGGGCGGGGCCAGCGCAGCATATGGAGCCAGGGATCAAACCCTGGTCCCTGAGCTTGCCTAAGCAGGTGCTTAGTATGCTGAGTTATTTATTTATTTATTTATTTATTTATTTATTTACAGCGTCATGCTATGCAGTGCTGACTCATAGTGATCCTCCTGTCTCAGCCTCTCAACCTCCCGAGCACTGGAATTACACGTGTGTGCCACCATGCAAGGCATGTGGTACCAGGGATCAAACCTGGGTCCTTGCGCTTGCCAGGCAGGTGCTTAGACCTCTGAGCTGTCTCTCCAGCCCTGCTTATTCTTTCTTCGTGCTCATCAGGCATTTGCCCTCCTAATTACCCTGATTGGTGGGGGAGAGTTCTCCTTATCCTACAATATATGCCTTCTGGGAGCAATGAGGACATTAGCTCTCTGCCCAATGTGTCAGCCTTCTATGAGTTTGGACCCTGTATGACCATCACTGTCAGTCTGGTCATTTCTGTGCCACTGACACTCTGGTGTCTGAACCCAGTCCCAGTGACTGCCCCAGACCTACCCTTGGCACTGCCAGCCTGGCTCTGCCTTTGCCTTAAGTGTTTCTCAAGAACCATAATATTCTCCCTCTTCAAGCAAAAATTAGTGCCCCTCCACTACTATGGAGGCAAGATGGTAGAGGACCACCTCCAGGGAGTGAAGACACCAGGTTATGCCATGATTACAACAACTGACTTTAGGTACTTGCTTGGCAAAGCATAGACAACTGGGCTACAGGGAAAACGACTATGGCGTCTGCACATGTTCTCCAGGGCTTCTTTCTTTCATAGCCCTCCCCAGTGGTTCTTTCAGAGGATTTGTTTCATCTTGGAATGAGCTTAGATATATTTAATGAGTTTTTTATTTCTAAATTTCTCTCCCAAAAGTCATAATAAATGTACTTAGGATTGGCTCTAAGAACTACATAATTTCCTGTTTTGGTTGTGTTTTGATCTGCATGTTCCTCCCTTATCACTCTTAGCTAGATGCTTAATGAGCTCACAGAAGACATTTGTACTTATGGACTGCCATAAGCACCTACAGAGTGACGTTTACATCTTGGGCAGACATGAGTCTTGGCAGAGCCTGGAAGAGTCAACCTTCCTTTTATCAGGGCCATGCTCTGGTAGGAGGACTGGCATTTGGCTGTTGGCTGGATAGCTATCAGTCATCACAATTCTCACAGGACACCTCTGGGCCTGTCCCTGTGCCCTAGAGCCAAGCACAGGTCTGCAAGTGGGGTCTTGTGGTTTTCTTTCTTATCTTTCTCATAGTAAAGGACCAACATCTTACATTAAGTGTTCACTAGGGTGGGTGTGGCGGTGCCAACTAGACTCTAAGCTACTTGACAGGTTGAAGCAAGAGGATCACTTGTGCCCAGCCTCAGCATCATAGAAAGACCTTGTCTCAAAAAAATTTATATTCTGTAAGTATGTGAGTTGGAAATCAGAGCCTTGAACTGGGAATTAAAATATGTAAATAAATTTAAGTCCAATGTTTGCGCTGTGTAAACTCAGCTACAGCACATCCCTTCTTTGTGTGGCTTTTCATTCATCCAACTTGATGGAGGTGAACTCATAGCCCTTTCCAATTTGATCAGGTCAGTGGAGACTATATGATGCTCTAAGGTCTAGAGGCCATGGTTCCTTTTCTTCCCTTCATGGAGGACAGTGGGTTGGCTGCATCCAAGTCAACTAAGAGAAGAGAAATGTGTGATAGATACTAGATGATGAATTCAAGATAGCTGTATTCATATGATGAGTGCTTAGTGTGTTCTGGAATGTTTTACCAATTATTTTATTTAGTAGATGATACTCAGAGAAGGAATGAAAGTTGCTCACCACCCAACATTTCATGGGTTGCTCAGATTACTGCTTTCACTTACTGTAGTGTTCCAGGTTCCTTCAACTAGAAAATAGGTTCAAAGTAACTGAAAATCACATGTAGAAGGGTAGATAGGAACTATTTAGGCCAAGTTTGTGAATTTACTAAGAAACAGTATCTCAGTAAGTTCAAGTTATTTGGCCAGTTTGAAATCCTAAACTCCTGGTGTTTCTCAGTTTCCTGTGGTGGTTTAATACAACTTTATTGTTGATCATAAAATGAAGATATATTCCTTAGCAAGATAATCTGGAAAGTGGAGAAAAAAATAAATAAAATATAAAATACTACTAACCTCACCACTCATAGAGAAACAAACAACCACCAAAGCATTGCTGGAGCTGGAGATGTAGCTCAGTGGCACAGCTTAGGTTCAGTACGCTATAGGCCCTAGGTTCCAACCCCCACACCCAAGCAAAACAACACAAAATACGAAAGCAAACTAAATCCCAACATATTTTTAACAATTCGGTATATTTTCTTCTAAGCCTTTGCCTATCCATTAAATAGTATTTTTTAAACCATTATTAAGATCATTAAGATTATGTCACTCATTTTCCCCCAAATTTAAAAACCCAATCCAAAAATAGGCATCAGAGATGAATATACACTTGTCAGATGAAGAAGTAGAAATGACAAATTAATACATCAAAAATGTTCATTATCACTGGTCATTTGAGAGACAAATTAAAGCAACATTGAATTTCATCTCACTCCAGGAAGAATGGCAAATATCAAGAAATCAACCAATAACAAATGCTAGTGGGGCTGTGGGGGAAAAGGAACCCTTCTTCACTGCTGATGAGAGTATAGGCTGGTGAAACCGCTATGGAAATCAGTGTGGAGATTCCTAAAAACTATGCTTAGAGGTCTCATTTGCCCCAACAGTTCCCCTGCTGAGTATTTGCCTGCAAGAATTAAAACATACGATAGCAATATATATGCACCATATATTTATAGCAGTGTTATTAGAGCTTATAATAGCTAAATCTTGGAAAGAAATCAGATGTTCATCAACTGAGGAACGGATTTCATTCTTTCTTTTGCAGAACCAGGGATTGAACTCAGGCCCTTGCACTTTCCAGGGAAGCGCTTATTTCACTGAGCCATCTCCCTGGCCCCTGAGGAATGGATTTAAAAAACCCTTTTTTAATACAATGAAGTACTACTCAGCCAAAAAGAAGGGTGAACTTGAGACACTTCTAGGTAAATGGATGTACTTTGAAACAATACTCTTAAGTGAAGTAAATTGGACACACATGCATAAATATTTCATTGTTTCTTTGGTGTGAAGAATGTTTTCCCACTTCTCCTGCTAGTTCTGGTGACTTTCTTGGAAATCAAGGCTTAGGCGTGTGTCTCACCTGGGGGATGTCTTGGCACTGTAATCGCCATGGAGTCTTGCCAGCTGCCCAGGGTAATAGCCTCGGATGTCCTTTCCTTGATGATTAATGAACATGCTGCTGAGAAAGTAAAGAGGCGATTAAAAAGTGACGATCACAATTAAGTCTCTGCAGGAGAATCTCAGCTGCTGTATCGAGGAAAATCCATTAGGACTTTGGGCCCTGCGCCTGGTGACTAGAATCCACAGATTTGCTGCTAGGGTTGTTTGTCATTCCTCTTTCCACCAAACCAGGCTTCATGGTCCTTGCAGGGCTCCTGTCCTCCACCACAGTCTCCAACGCTGTCAGAAAAATACTATTTGTTTTTAAGATACATAAAGAAATATTTAATATTATGTTCAAAATGTTAGGAAAAAATAAGAGAATATATAAAGCCAGTGGGGCAAATGTCCCTCCCCCCAGTGGGGCTGATGTTGATTATTGTAGAAATGTGGGAATAAGTGAGAAATCATACTCCTTTTTTTCCTACTTTTGATATGTTTACAAAATTTTGTAAATTTAAGAAAATGTATAACTGCTAAGTATATATATGGAGTGCCACTGAAGCAGGACTGATGACAAAGCAAAGCGCCTGAAAGGAGGACTCTGGCCCTGGAGGCAGGAGCAGGAGCCCGCAGGGTGGGCCTGGTAGGGAGGCTCGTGAGATGGCCCGAGAGGTGGGTTGTACAACAGGATGCAGTGGTGCTGTAGATTGGATGTTGAATGGGGCCAAGTGTTAAACTTGGTCCTCAGGGTGATGCTTGTGGGAGATGGCAGATACTGTAGGAGCTGGGGCTTAAGGAGAATCCTTAGGTCATTGGTGGTGTGCTTGGGCTTACGGGATTATAGGGCCCTCATCTCCCTTTTGTCTTTCCTTTGCTTTCTGGACATGTAGTAAGCAGCTGGCTCTGTCGCTTACTCCCCCATTGCCACCTAGCACCCCCACTGCCATAAGTCAATGGGACTAACTGATCATAAAACGGAATGTCAAAAACTGCGAGCCAAAATCAATCTTTTTATAGAATAATAATCTTAGGCATTTTGTTGTAGTGGCAGAAACCTAATAACACTAGCAGTGCTCAGATTTTATATCTTAAAATGTATCTTACTTTACAGCAAATTACTTTTCCCTTTATTTTCTAATTAAAACACTATTTGATATTTTGAAATTATGTGATTATATTACTTACAGATTTTATTTGAAAGGAGTGTTGTGTCTGAAAGCTTTTTGAAAATCACTAGTGTAGTTCATAGGGCCTCTTAGTAACAGTTTAAAGATTAATGCCATGATATGGAAATTTTCTCTGGTGGTAATGTGGAAAACAAATTTGAGATCAGTCTGCTGAGAAGTAGAAAGACTGGTTAAGAAAAGATTAGTGCTTTATGTGAGACGGGATGAATCTCTGAACAATGGGGTGGGAATGAGACCGGGGTGGGGGAGGACTGATATCGCGGGAAATGTAAACAGAAGGGTGCCCTGTACAGTCACACCAAAAAACAGCTAAGGCAATGCCTCGATTTAGCTATTGTATACGCCAACAACTCAAAATCTCATGTGTCCAAGATAAACACATATGATATTATCTTTCAATTTAAACACCAAATAAAGATTCAAGAACAATAACAAGGAAAGGTTGGAGAAAAGAGAATTGGTTGAGGATTTCTTGGAGATGGAATGATAGAGTTAAGGATAAAAGAGAATTGTCCAAGACAAGGCCTAGACTTCAATGATTGGGCAGAACACTGTGATACCTCACAGAAGAGCCAAGGAAGCCAGTGCTGTTGGGAATGTGTCTTTGTCAAGTTTGTGGCGCCTGCACATGGAGGGTATTTTTGATGCATATATAGATTCTGAGCATTTGCTAGATGCTATGAGAATTCACAGAAAAAGTGAAGAGTCCACAGAAAGGAACACATAGTTTTGCATAATGTCGCTCACTTATATGTGCTGGATCATGAATGGGAACTTAAACTATGCCTTTAGTTCAGCCAACATTTACTGGATACCCTAAAGCACACCGCACTCACCTAGGCTCTGCGGGTACAAAGATAGGGAGCAGTCCTGGTCTCCAAAATGCTCTTCACATGCTGAAATAGTGGTTCAAATGGAGGGCACGAGGAGGGAGAGGTGTCAAGGGTTTGAGAAGGCAAATAGGATGGGGAAGAGACTCCAGGTGAAGGGCATTACAGAAGCTAAGACTTGGACAGCTTGGGTGTATTGTGCAGGGAAGCAATAGTCAGCTTTTTGTTACTATAATAAATGCCTGGGATGCATCAACTTACAAAGAAAAAAGGTTAATTTTGGCTTTGAGTTTTGAAGGGTTTAGTTTATGACCAGTTGACCCCACTGCTCTGGGCTTGTGGTGGGCAGCATGTTGCAGGAGTGCATGGCTGAGCAAAGCAGCTCCCCTTATGGCAATGAGGAAGCAAAGAGAAGGAAGAGGAGTGACAGGGTTCTGATGGCCCTATTCTGGGGCACACATGCAATAACCTAATAAAGGTTCCACTATTTCCCAGTAGCACCATAAACTAGGGACCAAGCCTTCAACAGATGGGCCTTTGACAAGCAGTCCAGATGTGAACTAGAGCTGGACCAGAGTCAGCCTGGCTGTCCTATGTGAAAGGTAAGGTCTCTGAAGACAGGACTCGCAAGTCCGGATTTCAGAAAACCATCAGGCTGCCAAGTGGAAACTATGGCTGAGTCCTGGAAGGTCCACAGCTGCAGGGATGAAGTCGTAAGAAGAAAGAGAAGTTGGCCCCGAAGCAAGAACCCATGACATTTCCAAACACATGGGATGGGGTCACAGACCTGCTTGGGTGCCTACTCATCATCTGAAGCAAGGCCTTGAGGAGCTCCCCCAGAGCCATGTCAACCCTCAGGGGTCCCTGGGCTCTGAAGGCCCCTCGGGGCTTCTTCTCCTCTTCCTTGGTGTGCACCCAACAGACGCCTTGCCGAGTACAGGTGGGCAGCTAAGCCCTGCATGGCAGAAGCAATCTGCAAAAGCCACTCTGAGAATGGAAGCCTCCCCAGAGCTCCTGCCATGGGCGCCCAGGGCAGATGTTGGCAGCTGTGGGCAGAGAACAGGAAAGCGTGTGCCAGGAGGTCGCAGCTGGAGGGAGGGCACCTGGGAGGGGATGGGACTTGGGAAGGTTTGGGGAATGAAGCCACGATACTTTGCCTCCCTCTCATTGCATGTATTTCCCAAGCTCCCCCATGCGGCCTTCGCATATATGTGAGAAGACTTCTAATTCAGGTATTAAAATAGCAGATTTTTCTGGAAAAGGACTATTTTCTTCTGGGGGTGCCTAGTAGGTTCCTCCCTCAGGAGGTTTGGGTAGGCAAAGCCACCAGACTAAGGACTCAGAGCCCTGTCCAGGATGTACTCAGACTCACTCCACTGACTCAGCTGCAGAAAGATCCCTCCTTCTTGGCTGAACAGGTGGCACCGAGGGCTCATTCCACTGTGCATTATTTACAAGCCCTAGACAGCTTGGCTTTCGGAGATGGCGTGTGCCATTCACACAAGAGCAGAACCTGAACCATGGCCTGGGGTGGCCCTAGGTGGCCCATGTCACTGCTTCAACTGGGTTGGGCCTCTCTTTATAAAGCACTTTTACAGAAATGATCTCACCTGCTTGTCACAGTCACCTTACAAGGTAAATATTACCAACTCCCTGTTTCATAAGAGGAGACTCAGAGAGGTTATGTGGACTTCTTAAATATCCCCCAGCTAGGAAATGCCAGAGCCATGAAGTGAACCCAGAGCCCTAAACTCCATGTAACATCCAGGTCATCTCTGTACGTGGACGATGATTCCTCTTTTCCAAAAAAGCTCAGCGCTGTTTCTACTTGAACTCTGTGACTCCTGCTTGCTAGCAGACAGCAAGCAGCATGATGTACCAAGACAGCAGGAAGAGCAATAAAGACACGGCACTGTTAGCAGAGTGGATGCTTCCTTTGGGGTGGAAGTGTCTATTGCGAGCACAGCTGTCTGCGGTGTGCTGGGTGACAGGGACATGCGATGTGAGGATTGTCTTTCCAACTACAGTTCATCACCTGGTAAGGAAGAGCCCATTCAGGCAACTAACAAATCACAACCAAGATGGTAAGTGCTATGACAAGCTAAAAAACTGAGGCCTCGGGGACATTAGTAACTCAGCTAAGGACATGAGTCAGTACACACAGATTAAAAGGGATTAAAAGCAGTGTTGGGAGATCAACAATTCTTCTCACTTGGGTCCGCAGTAGCTCCTCAGTGAAGGGGGAGCCCTGGCTTTCTCATCAGTAAGATGGGACTTATCGCCATCTCTATTCGTGGTTACATTAGAGAAATGAGATTTTGTTTTGTTTTGTATCAGGGATTGAACTCAGAATCTTGCACTTGTCAGCAGCTGCTTATGCCACTGTGCTATCTCCCTCGCTTGAAAATCAAATATTTGTATGTGGCTGCTAAAATATCTCTTCAGTCCCTCTAGGCAGATTGGATGAGCTGACCACATAGCTGTCTCTAGAGCTTTCAGATATCACTTTAATTGCTTGCACATTTAAAGTGCAATTGTGTGTGTGCATATGTGTGTGTGTGTGAATGTGCTTTGCTGGGAACTGGATTGCTGAGTGCACACTTTACCGCTGAGCTATCCCTCAGCCCAACTGATGTTTGAAAAATTCATTTAAAACTGACACCCATTCTGTACCTTCCCTCTTCCACACCACACTGAATTTAGTCCATGAGGAGCGATCTTTCGGAAGCCTCTTAAGCTCTGCAACGCCACGCAGTGTGCAGCCCAACCACTGAGCACCAGGGTTCTGGTCTGTGGCTTGGGTATGGCACCGGTTAATACTTACATTTAATATAATGCTTTTTACAAGTATCTGATGTGGTCACTAAAACTTGTGAGCCATGAAATATTTACTTTTATTAGGTTTCCCTGCTGGGTTGCAATTCTGTTTCCCTAACAGAGCCCTCAGGGCCAGGCAGCTAAGGATGAATTGGATGGACACTTGTGCAGGACAGCAGAAGGGCAGGCTCGGGGTGTGTGCATCTCCAGGAGGCCAAGTCACAAACAAAAGACTGAATAATTTTGATTGTTCGTTCATTTTAATCTCCTCCGTAACTGCATGGAGGGCCTGTCATGTGTGGCCATCTGCTAAGAGGAGGTTATAGAAGTCAGTTTCAGGGAAAGGCAAGCAAGCCCTGCCATGGGGCATTAACCTCACGCTGTAGCAAAATGCATTGATCCCCAAGAACTAATGGCAGCAGCAGACCAGTGGGTTCAAGTCCCACCTTTGCCAGCTGTCTTCCGATGATCATTTACCCACACTGTGTCTTGTTACTTCGTTTTGAATTCATAGTTGTAAAGCAAAAATGAGGTAATAAACATTTACGATAATGTTGGTATGTTTGTCATGTTCCTGTGGCTGTGCTAATAATTTCCTGAGAAAGCAAGGATGTACTTAGGCTCACGAATTCAGAAGTTTCAATCCATGACCACTGGGCCCTATGGCTTTGGGCCTCTGGGAAGGAAGAACATCATGGTTCGAAGCACTGGAGGAGCAGAGCCACTCACTTCCTAACAGCCAAGGGCAAAGAAAGTGAGAAAGCCCAAGAGGAAAGGGGCCAGAGGCAAACTACCCTTAAAGGACACCCTCAGTAACCTAGTTCCTGCCACCTTTTAAAGTTTCCACTACCTCCCAATATGCTATTCAGCTAGGAAGCCAATAGTGGCTTATTTCATCAGTGATGTTAGTACTCTTATGACTCTATCTTTTTTAAAGGCCTCAGCTCTGAAAACTGCTTCTTGAGCGACAAAGTATATAAGACATGGGTTTGGAAGGACATTCTAAATTCAAAGTAGAACAGCTGGGCACACAGTAAGAGCTGCCTGGTAACTCTTATCACACCAGCAGTGAGACAGATGGAAAATTTTAAAAAATACAATATCTGTATGTTGCAATAACAGATGTAAAAGAAATTTAAAAGGGTGTGAAACAGGGAATCACAGAGATGGAAAGACAGGCAAAGGGAGATTTCCATTCTTGGTGGTCAGGGAATGACTCACGAGGTACCAACAGAGCTGAGACATGCTGGGTAGAAGGAGTACAAAGGGTTGGGGAAAGGAGCAGCCCAAGTAGAAGGAAGAATTTGTAGGCACTGAGGTGTAAAAAATGCATGGCTTCCTGAAAGAACCAAAGGAAAGACAAAGAGCTTGAGTTAGGAGAAGGTTGGAGAGATAAGCAGGGGTATTTCCTGTGGGGCATGTCGGCCATGGCGACACGTTTTGGATTTTATGCTAAAAGTAGTGGGTTTTGGGGTTTTAGCCAAGAGAATGCTGTGATCCAATTCATATCTTATGAAGCTCACTCTGGAGAACAGATCATTGGAAGATAAGAGAATGAATGCACTGCTAAAGATGTGTAGGGAGAGGTGATGAGATCTGAGCATGTGGTGGTAGCGAGCGGCAGCCACGCCGCTGTGGTCTGAATCTGAGATGTTTGGCTACCATGAAGTGCTGCTGTCTGCCCTGTGCCCCTCTGCCTTGGAGCCAGCTGAGTATGGACTGAAACCTCCAGTAACTGTGAGCTAAATAAACCTTTCCTTCCTTCATTTTGGGTGTCGGGTATTTGTCCCAGCAACGAGAGAAGAGTAGCTAAGACAATGGGTCGAAAGTCTGTCTCTCTGTCTCTTATATTACATTCAGGCTCTCTGACCCAGGCTAGGGGATGTACTCACACCCATAATCCCAGCAGTACTAAAATCCATAATCCCAGCCTTGGATCACACATAATCCCATGGATCATGAGTTAATCACAAACTCTAGAAGTCCCCACACCATGACTGCATGAGGTTTGGGGAGGACAACTAGACACAAACCATAACACCCATGTGTTAAAAGCTTGGCACCAGACTGGGGCTGTATTCAAGGACGGTAGAACTAGTTGAAAGCAGTTGGAGGGGCCTTTTAAGAGAAAGTTAGGTCACTCAGGGAATGTTCTTTAAAGGGCATATTAGAACCTTGGCTCTTTTCTCTTTCACTTCCTGGCCAACATGAGAGCAACTTTCTCTGCCACATGCTTCTGCCATAATGCACTGTTCTACAACAGCCTCCCCCAAAGAGCCAAGGAGCCATGGACTGAGCCCTCTGAAACCATGGTCCAAAATTATCTTTCCTCCTCATAGGTAGTTTATCTCCAACATTTTGTCATAGTGACACAGAGCTGACCAACACACCAGCATTCAGATGGGCGAAGTAACGTGGAGGAAGAGCGTATGGAACTTACTGGAGAAGGGAGATCCACTGTTGTTGGCAAGGTACATGGTAGGCAGAAAGCTGCCCACAATGAGCCTTGCTGGTGGAGGGTACAGCGCCTACAGGCAGATGAGGAGCACTTGCCACCTCTTGCTCTCATGTGCTCTGTGATAAGTACAAGCAAGCTAGAGGTAGCCAGGCCTTAGGCTTTCAGTGGGTGCCCCTGCTCTGTTCCACCCAAAGCCTCAGGCTCCCAGGATCTGGCTCAGACCAGACTTTATGAGTGATTTGGCTCTATGGAACACCAGACAACAGCAGCCAACAAAGATTTGTTTGTATTTTACCAGGGAGACAAAACCACAATCAAATAGGCCCATGGTAGACAAGACAATCTCAAACATACACAGAAAGAATGAGGACTTGTGCAGGAGGAGGAATCAGTAAACACTGGAACCAATCCCTGTCCTCTCAACCCTGCTTGTTCCTTGGGTAGATTTTAGGGATTGAAGGGTAAAGCGCTGTGCTTTCTCTGAAAAGAAGATTCTTAGGGAATCCAGGAAGCAAGCAGCTTTCTCCCCACTCCTGCTTCAGTAATTTCTGAAATCAAAACTTTTATTTATTGACCAAACACTGCTAGACTGCCTTAGCATAAGCATAAGGCTTGCTCAAATCTAGGATATCAGTGGTGCTACTAGAGGCTGACCCTAGGTCACTGTGCTGCGCTGGCTTCCTGGCTTCTAAATCTCAGCAGTCCCCATAGTACCAGGTGGTGAAGGGAGAATGTGGTTAGCATTTATTGGTTTTATCTGCAATCTCTCAATAAAACAAATCTAGCATTACAAAGCATGCCTGGACTCATTATTTGTGTGCCACAGATGACCTTGGAGAAGGAGTGAACCTCCTCCGTAGTTTCCATCTGTGCAATCAGCTCCCATAATGCAGGCGCATGGGGTGGTGTGATTAAAGGGTTCCCATCCAAAACGTGGGCTGAGATCCTTCACACTTCTGTTCAAGCCCTTCCTAAGAGAAAGCCAGCATCTTTCTGATCTGGGAATGGGAAGTTCGCTTACATTCGGCTCTAATATGGGATTTCCTTCCTTACAACTTTCCCTACTCCCAGAGAAGCTTCAGGAGGCCCCTCTGGAGGCAGCTGTCTTTCAGGTATGAACTGGAGGGTGAACAATTCTAATTCCTCAGATTGCTTCGTGCTCCGGGAGGCTCTGTGGATGTGAAGATGTTACCTGGGTGGAATCACGGGGCGACGATCAACAAATTCTCGTAGCCAAATGTGGGACATGATGAATGGGAACCTGAAAAAATAATTACAGAATGGGATTTCACATGGTGCTTGTGTTCATTTCTAAGCATAAGCTACTACTACAGTTTGGATAAGGGATGTCCCTGTCTCAGTGGCTTTCTTGTTGCTGAGACACACCAACAACTTAAAGGAGGGAAGGTTTATTTTGGCTGACAGTGTGTAGAGAGTTCAGTCCGTAGCTGGCCAGGTCCAAGGCAGGGCAGCACAGCCAAAAGGCCTGGGCACAGGAAAGCTGTTCCCTTCAAGGAGGCCAGGAAGAGCAGAGAGAAGGGCAGAGGCAGGAAGGAGACGCACCTCCCAGCCAGGCCCCCAGTGAGCTTCCTCTTCTAAGCAGATCCTACTCCTTACAGCACGCTCTGCTGCACTCATCTGCGGGCCAGCCCACAGTGAGTTGGCACCCCGCGCTCCACTCGCCTCCCCAAAGCCCTGCCAATGATCACAGGAGGCTTTTGGGGGAACCAAAATATAAAACAAACAGTCCCCCAAGGTGCACCCATTGAAGGATGGTCTTATAGGTATGGAACCATCAAGGGGTGGCATCTTTTTTAAAAAATAATTTTATTGAGAAACAAACAGCAGTGAGACAGTTTCAAAACTGATTAGTAGCACAGTTTCAATAATCAATACATTGCATATTGTTGTCTTAGTGGTTATTCATTGTACAAGATGCAGACATGATATCCTGTCCACAAACACTATTAGAACAAATCCCTCTATTCATTAAATTAAGAGAATGCAGCTGCATATCTATCCTAACTATTTTAAATACACAGATACAAAATGGTTCTTCATTTGTATCCCCCTTTTTTTTTAGTTTTGTCAGAGAAGGGTATTCCATTGTCAGTTAAATATTGTAGGTGCATGAAGTCAGCAAAATATTCCAATATAGTCCATCCAGCAGAAAAGTATAAAAACGAAATATAAAAAGTAAAGCCATATTAATATGCTGAGCTGCAAAAGGCTCAAGTTAACAACTTCTGACATTGCCGGTCTTATGGAAAACCTACTACTATTAGGGACTACTGGACTATAAGAGGTGGCATCTTACAGAAGGAAGTGAGGCCCCTGGGAGTGTATCGCCAAAGCGGACGCTGGTCTATCAGCCCCTTCTTCCTTCTCTCTTATACTTCACCCTGAGGCAAACAGGCCTCTAGCACACACTCCCACCAGGACGAACTGGCCTTCTACAAACCCAAAGCAACCGAGGACTCTGAAGCCTTCAACTATAAATGGAAGACTCTGAGACTATGAGTTGAAATCATTTTCCTTGCTAATTTGATGTCCAAGGTATTTTTTCACAGTGACAGAAAGCTTCCTAATAGCTAACTAGTCCCACAAAGTCCATGTCGAAAGAATCACAGTAAGAAAAATGACATAGCAGAAGAACTATCCATAGCTTCCTACAGGGAAGGAAATATACGGCTAACAAAGAAGCAGAAAGAAATGGAAAGTATAAGCTAAAACAATATACATATGCTTCTCTTACTTTTTTATTACTTCTTGTTAATTTTTACAGTGCTGGATCTTAAACCAGGGGCTTCCACACATCTCTAGCCCTTTATATGTTTTGATATAGAATCTAAGTCACTAATTTACACAAGGTGAGCTCCAACTTTCCAGCTTCCTGCCTTAGCTTCCCAGAATGCAGAAATTATAGGTGTGCACCACCTATAATTGGGTGGCTCTGGCCCAGTCGTTGCTCGTGAATGGCTGGCCTGATGCCTTATCTCAGATGTCCCGCCTCTTACAACTTGAAATCTCTTTGACTTGTCTGGAAGCCATGCTTTCTTTGTCCCCTGCTAATGTGGAGGAGGAGGATCCCAGTAGCAGCCCTCACGCATTTTGCAGTTCTGTACGGACAGTGGCCTTGCATGCCCTTGGTGATACATCACCCAGTGTACTCCCTGTATGACTTCTCTCTGGATCTCAGCCCCCCACCCTGATCTTACGTATAGTTGAGGACAGGAAGTGAGCTGGCTTAGACTGGCTGGATCTAAGATGGCTCATGCCTATTTATTTATTTATCTTTTTTAAAAAACAAAAAGTACCATGCTGGAATGTTAGTTGGGTACCGACTCCTTGCTCACCTCTTACGGAACTTTCTTACCGCACAGGTTTGCAAGGTGAGCACCACATTCCCCTGAGTCTCTCCAATTCTAGTAAACAACTCTGACTCTGACCGTATGTAGAGTCCTTCTGTCTGATGCGCTTAAGTGGGAATTGGAAGGGGGAGACAAGGCAGAGGCAACTTCCCGCTGCTTTGACCTTTCCTACTGGCAAGCCAGGTGGTGAGGACATGGTGGGTTTTGACAAGAGAACTCCGGGGTCTGGTCTGCAGCGCTGGGAATGACAAGATGCGATTGCTCTCTCCGGGTTCAGCTGCCAGCTTCGTGTGTGGGAGGAAGCTACCGCCGCAGAGGTGGTGCTCTTCAGAGTGGGTTCATGAACCTCGTCATTTTGGGAGCAGCTTCCCAATTTGTGGGAAGCTGTTCTGGAAACTATCTGGAAACCCCACTCTGCCTACCCCATGATTTTGTAACCCCTCATTCTGTACATTAAGCCTTCCTTTACTCACATCAGACTTCAAAATAATACTTTTTCTTGTTAAAAAAAAATTTCATAGTACATCTCATTACTGACTGGAGAATATAGTTTGCCACAAGCAAATGAAAGCATTTAAATATTCACAGGAAGAGGCTATAAAGGGGGAGGGGAGCCCAGGGCTGCGAGAAAGAGGAGAAAGCTGTAGCCCTTGTAGAGCACCTTTTGTGTCCCTTATGAATCTCTCACCCTGAGCACGCATTATGTACCCTCTCCATAAAGACAACTGAGCCTCTGATTTGTATAAACATGGCAACTTGTGGCAGAAGAACTGTGGGCTGAGACCTTGGGGCCTGTGGCGGGTCATTTCCTTGCTCTGAATATTGATTATTGTGCCTCTCTAGAGGGCTGAGTGAGCCAATCGTGTGCGTGAGAGTGCTCGGTAACCTTAAAAGCACCTTCGAGACAGGAGAAATATGAGTTTCTATTTATGAGCTTTTATGACAGGTTAGGTAGTGTGCATTAACTCACATCTGCCTCCCGGCAACCTTGCAAATATTGTCCTTCTTTTACCCACAAGAAAACAGGTACTAAGGAGTAAAAGAACTCATACCAGGTTATAGGGAAACAAGGCTGGGATCTTCTGGCTCCAGAGACATTAATCTTAAGTACTGTGTTAAGTCAAAACAATCCGGAGCACAGCTATCACCAACCGAAATAAAACAGAACCATTCAAAAGAAGCCAGAGGAAAAAAAACATACCTAAGGGGGAGAGGGAATTGAGACTAAAACATGGGTGCCTCCCTATCCTCCCCTTTCTATTTGTGTTAGTCAGATTTTCATTGCTGGGACCAAACGCCTGAGAAACACAACTTAAGGGAGGAAGGATTTAATTTGTCCCCCTTCTTTAGTTTGGCTATTGGGTTCAGAGGTCTTAATTAGTGGTCGGCTGGCTCCAAAAACAGAAACATTAGTGCAGATGTGCATGGTTAGGAAAAGCTGTGCATCTCAGGGCAGCCAGGATGTGGAGTGAGAAAGAGATAGAGTGGAAGGAGGGGGCTGGGGACAAGACACAGCCCTCATAGGTCACCTAGTTCCTCCACTTGGGCCCTGGCTCCTACGACCCAGCTAGCTATGAATGAGCCACTGGCCAGCCCATTCAGCAGGCAAACAGCCTCCCCATCTGGCCGCCTCTCCTGGCATCTCTTAATCCAACCAAGTTGATGATCAAGATTAATAACATCATGATCTGTGCTGAACTCACTATCTACAAGGCTGGCTGGCTCTTTATTTCACCTCTGAGTATGTTTTGCAAAGCAGCTTGAAAATTTTCAACAGCAATAATTATAACAGAACACTGGGCTATCCAGAGACACCTACTCATTAGATAATGTGTTTTTTCAAAAGGCCTTACTTAAAAATTTCTTTTTAACACGTATAATTATAGATATTAGTGTGGTTCAGTGTGATTCACTGATTAAACTCAACCTCTCTTTTCCATACCTGTCACCCTTTCCAATCTCTAGTAATTACTATTTTACATTCAGGTTAACTGTTTTCAGCTTCTGTGTCTGAGAGAGAGCATGTGGTATTTGTCTTTCTTTATGTTATTTCACTTAACATAATGTCTTCCAGTTCTATCATTTTTGCTGCAAATGACAGTCCTCGCAAGAGTCCTTCGTGTTGCTAATTATTCCCCTTCATTTGTAGAAAATGTTAAATTTCATGCTTAAGGTGGTAGCCAACTCTGTTTGACTCCAAAACTCAGGATCCTTCCACTGCAATAGAACTGACTTACTGGTCACCTATCTTTGCCGCCTGCTGCTAGGCACTAGGGGAAAGCATCTGACAAGAGATCAAGAGACACCAGACGGCACTGTCGAGTTGCTTGCAGTCTGGTAGAGAAGATGAAGTCACACACTAATCATAGAGTTGTGCGAGTCAATGTCAATCAAAGCAAGTTACCTTTCAGATCACTGGATGGGCAAGCATCCCCTCTCCTCTTTCAGAGTTCTAAGGGGAAAGGTCCTAGGAGTAGGCACGTTTCCTTTGCTTCAGAAAGCATGGACATTTTCTCTAACCCAATGCATTTGAGAAGCTTGTCTAACAAAAGGTGCTGGAAAAATCTTCCACATGCAGAAGATTAATGCTAGACTCATATATCTCACCATGTAGTAGACTAAAAACAAAACAGATTAAAGATCTAAATGTTAAAACAGAAACATTTAATCTGCTGGAAGATAAAGTAGGTAAAGTCTTGAAGATATAGGCACAGGCAAGGAATTTCTGGACAGAGGCCTAATTGCGTAAGAAATAGTACCAAGAACCCACAAATGGGATCATATCGAATTAAAAAGTTTCTGCCCAAGGACTGGGGAGATAGCGCAGTAGAATAAGTGCTTGCCTGGCAAGCGCAAGGGCCTGAGTTCAATCCCTGGTTCTGGGAAAAAAAAAAAAAAAAAGGCTTCTACATAGCAAAGGGGTCAACCAACAGAGTGAAGAGACAACCTGCAGAGTGGAAATGATTTTTGTTAGCTATTTCTCAGATAGAGAACTAATAGCTAGAATATATGAAAAACTCAAAAAATTAGATCCTCTCCCAAATAAAAGACCTAATCAAAAATGGGCAACCGAAATACATAGAAACATCTTTGAAGTACAAGTGGTCAATAAATACATGAAAAATGAATAAATACATGAGAAATGTTCATCTTTTTTCATTCCAGAAATGCACATTAAAACAACACTGAGATCCCTTCTTACTCCAGAAAGAATGGCTGTCATCAAGAAATAAAATAACAAGGGTTGAGGATATAGCTCACCAGTGCAGCAACCCTTCTTCACTGTTGATGGAAATGTAACCTGATATAACTACTAGGGGAATCAGTATGAAGATTCCTCAAAAAACTAAAAAATAGTGCTCTCCATCCTAGAAGTGCTTGATGCCTACTGCAGAATGAGTGTGGATGCAAAGTCGTCAGCAAGTCTTGGTCACCTTGTAATCTACTGAACAGTGAAAATAATCTTGGTCTTCTTGTGTTATAGGGAGTCACTTTATACCTATCCCACTTCTTCAAAAATAAATAAGTAAACATGTTGAGGTAAACTACTAAAGTGGGGAGGGTTAACTGTTCAGTTTCTAAAATAAGTCTTGGCTTTACAAACATGCCATGCCATAGTTTCTTCAAGTTGTGAGCTCCTGTCGCTAGAACATTCTAAAGCTAAATTCTGCTAGTTAGGAGGGAAGCGGTAAGTGAGAGGTGGGACAGGCGTAGGCAGTGACAACCATATCAGTTACCTTCTTGGGCAGCAGTGGGTGGGACCCCCTCGTTCTCAAGTCCTCTGGGGATAGGAGTTATTTCAGCCTCCTCCTGCTGTTGGATAAATTGCAAAGACATGCTGCAGAGTTGTAGGTATTGATGCCTTTACATCACTCAAAGGGGATTGTGATGCACTGTGGCTTAGAAAATTTTGCTCAGCAATGCTTTTCAGGGCTCAAGCTTGTAAAAAGTAGGCAAATTTTTAGGTCTCTACGGAGAGCCCGCACACTGAAAGAAAGGTGAAAACTAGCATAAGTGGGAAAGTCACACCAGCAAAGAACAAAGACTCTGCAGTAGAACTTTCTCCTCTATGAAGAGTACATAAGGTCAAGGGCTGGGTGGTGCCATACTGACTAGTACTGTCCTTTGGGTGCTACAAGCTAGAAATGAGGAAGTAGGATTGGCACAGGACAAATCCAGCTCTGTCTGGTTCCACACCAGATGAATCTCCATCTTGCTTCTGCTGAACGCATCAGAGGAGGCTTTTAATTGTTTAAAAATGTAATCCAAATATATCTATAAAGCATTAAAATAGCACAGCTAGATAGTACAAGTCACAGCCTGGGATGGCAGAATGCCAAACACATTCATTCAGACAACCTACATCAAACAAAGACAAGGGCTGGGAATGTAGCTCAGTGGTAGCGTGTTTGCCCAGCATGCTTTTGATTTAATCCCTCATGCTGCAGGGGAAGATAAAAAGAATTATCTACAATATGTTGGTCTGGTGATAGGACACCTCTTACATGAATAAGTTTGCAAGGAAGTAATGAAGTGTTTCCATAAAATTCCAGATGGCACTTAGGAGAGACAGCATTGAGCATGGGGGCATAACCTACATGAATAGATACAAAATAATTTCATACCAGTGTCTTGGTGCCATGGTATTTTGATGAAAACAGAAAACCTAGGGAAATTTTTAATCTAAGAACAGAAGCAACATGCTGGGCCCACATAAATAGAAAGGGTAAACTGGGACCCAGGCATGGTGGCACATATCTATAGTCCCAAGGACAGTGTTCAAGAGACTGAGGCAGGAAGATGGATAGTTTGAAGTCATCCCAGGCAATTTAGGGAGACTGTATCTTAAGATAAATATAAAAAGGGTTGGGATATAGATTGGTGGTAGAGCTCTTGACCAGCATGTGTGATGCCCTGGTGCAAATCCAAGTCCAGCCAAACAAAAGAAAAACAAACAAAAAAACCTCACTTGTCCAGGAAGCATCTTCAGCATTCCAGGCATTGTTTTAGTTTTACCTATTTGGTAATGATGATCTTGGTCTCTACTGGGACTGTGGAAGGGTTTCTCCATCAGAAACTAAGGACCTTGACTAAAATTGTACAACTGTGGGGTAGTGAATCTAGGGCTTGAATCCAACTCTAACACCGAATCCCAGATTGAACTACATTTTAATGAAAATATATAAACTTTTCATTTTAAGAGCAATAACCCGTATTATTAGTGAGGAAACAACCACCTCCCAACCCGCATTTTTCATCAAAATATACCTGGAAACACAAAAAAGTACAAAGAAGAAATGAAAGTTAATCTCTCTAGTTAGATACTATTGTCACCCATGCATAATTGATGAATCTGTTTAGATTTCTTTCTAGAAATGTAAATTGATTGATGTTAAGAATGAGATAACTGGATAGACATATTTTTTTTTTTAAAGAAAGCTGTGATTGTACTACATAAGTTGCATATTTAAAACACAAAAATAGTGGCCAGGCTGTGGAGCCACACACCTGTAATCCCAGCAGTCAGGAGACTGAAGCAGGAGAACCGCTGTAAATTCAAGGCCAGCTTGGGCTACAAAATAAATAAAGGTCAGCCTGAATTACATAGCAGAAACCCTGTCTCAAAAAGATAGAAAACAAAAGAGAACAAAAAATTTAATTAAGTCTTAAGGTGTTTTTACTTAAGAGTCCACCTGAAATGATGATGATTTAGCTGCACAGCACAAGAGGTTGACCATCAGCAGTTCCTCTAAGCAGTAGGGGCTGCTTTGGCATAATGGTACTCACTGACATAAAACATTCAAGCTTGTGCCAAGCTTAGTGACCTTCATTACACAGCTCTCCCTTCTCTTCAGCTTTAGAATGCCCTCTAAATCTCCCCCCTGGGTTTTGCAAATGCAAGCTAATGCTTCCTTAGAAGAGTATTAATGGGACTGTCCCCAAAAATGTGCTCATAAGCCTTTCATTCCATCATTCCATCTCATCATATGGTTATTTGACATCCACGAGGCAGACTGTGGTCAGTTCATCCTGACCAGCATCCCGGAAGGCAATCATCACTTCTTCTTACGCAGGTTTTCAAGTCTGGAAGCACAATCATTATGTAACTGTCCTCCTCCAGGTTCCACTCATAATTCACTTTTCACCTCTTAATGTCACATGTCTTTCCTGGTGATGTCAGAGAGTTGAGGCACCTTCCTCATAGAACCTCTGTTCTTTTAATTCAGACAAGATGCAGAAACCTAAGAACATTACAATAATGTGAAATCCTGCAATCCTGAGATATATTATGAATACTTGTGTTAGGTAAGTGTATCACAGCTATTGCTAGGGGAGGATGGCATGGTGTCTAGTACTCGGAACTCTTTCTGGGCTGGAACAGCTACTTCGGTATTCTCATCCACCATCCTGAAACACCCCTTTCGCTGCCCTGTTTGAACATAAAGCCAGTCCTCATGGCTGGCTGCCTGCCATTCCTCTGCCTGCTGCCCTTGAGGGCTGCCCTACATTTCTAGTCCAAAGATGGCTTCCAAACAGATGAACTCTTCCAGTGATTCCCTGTGGACGATAACTCAGTGGCTGGCCCTTCAGGGCTGAGCTGTGTCCACACCTGCTTAGAATGTCTGTGCTGGGTAACTCCCAGGTGTCCTTGTCCCAAGGACACCAGTGTCCCAGGTGTCAGTGCTTACCCACACCCAGCCCAAACCCAGCCAGCCCACACCCAGTGGCTTGTCAGTCTAAGGACATCCAGCTCCACATTCTTGCTGAGGCCATCCAGCTTCAAAGCTCCCTGTAGAATCAACTGGCTGAAGCAAAGCCACTGCTCCTTTGGGTTCAGTTTCTGTCTCAAATCAGTCTTGTTTGTCTTTCTTCTACTATGGTTTCTGAGTCTGTTATTTCTCAGGAAACCACCTCTATGCAAATCTCTGTCTTAGCATCTATTCTTCAGTGAAACCAATTTAAAAGAGTTGGTACTAGAGGTGGCCTGAGAATTCTAGAATTCCATTCCCCACTGGCAGGGTACCAGTGAGGCCCTCACCACTCCTGGAGGGCAGAGGAGCGGTAGCTCCTGTATTCTGTTGTGAAGCAATTGTGGTTTTTTGTTAGTTTTGCTGGGCTGGGGAATGGGAACCAAGGCCTCTTGCATGGTAAACTAGCCTTTTATCACTGAACTAATCCCCAGGTTCTGGAGCAGTTGGCAAAACTACTTAGTACAAAAGGACCAAAGACCAGTAGAGAGGAAGGACTGGCAGGTACTATTCCCCAGTTTGGAGAGGTTGAGAGAATCATAATTTTTTTTTTTCAACACTTGACACTCAACCCAGGGCCTTCATACTGAGCTGCATCCCAAGATCTTTTTTTATTTTCATTTTGAGATAAGGTCTTGCTAAATGTCCTGGGCTGGATTCAAATATTCAGTCCTCCAGCCTCAGCCTCCTGGAATGCAGGCTTGTTCTCCACTCCCAGCTAGGAAGAAGAAATTATGACAATGAAGCCAAAAGGCTCTTGGTGAGTATACTTGATGAGTAGGATAGTGAACAAATCATTACTTTATGGAAAATATGAAAACTGAGGACTTTTTTAGCATAATGGGACACTCGTTGCCTGTAGCAAGAGGACAGAAAAAGACAAGAATTAGACTCAAAACTTAAAAATAAGGACAGTAGAGCTCAGCAAGAGACCCATCAAATCTCCTGGACCGATGCTAGGGCCATGTTTAGAAAAGAATACCAATCTCAGAGTTGGGATGAGGAGGGAGAGAGGCTGGGGCTCTTGAGAGGCAGAGCTCAGATTCTTTCTAGTTCTCTGGTTCCACAGCAGTGGCCACTCCTCTTGCCAGGGCCTTCACTTCTGTCTTGCTTGATGGACTGAAAGCAATGAGGCCACCACCTAGGCCCCCATCAGGACCAGTCCTGGCTCCCCTTCTGGCCACCAAGGAACAGCATACACTGCAGGGGAAATCCTGGACCTCCTCAGAGAGGAGACAAAGTATGAACGAAAGGAACATAACCTGGATTCCAATCATAAGGAAAGATCGGGCAAACTCAAATATTCTACAGAATACCTGGTCTGGACTTTTAAAAAATGATAATTAAGAACGAAAAGAAAGGTTCAGCAAGTCTTCTAAATTAAAAGAGACTAAGGAGATATGATAAATGAGAGAAATACCTGAAGTTAGATGGGGCCCTGCTCTGGACAGTGAAAACCCTGTTATCACTTATATCTAGCTGTCTCCTTAAAGCCTTATGCAGTCATAGGGTTTTTTTCAGAGGTGGCTGAGTCTAGAGTGTGTGATGTTGGGATGAGGGTGTGGGATTAGTAATTTAGCTCACTGATTGGCTTGGCATAGTTCTGGCTAGCATGAAGAGTATGAGTTCTAATCTGCCCTACAGCCTGTAACCTGTGTACAACATAAGGGACAGGAAGAGCATTGTCTCGTCCCTTGTTGCTTTTGCTGTCTAGTGGGTGCCCTGAGCTGCTCTCCACTGTGATGGTCCTCTGTAAAGCCACCCTGCCTTGCAGCAGCCAATTACAGACTGAAACCTCTACATACTAGGAACCAAATAAACCTTTCCTCCTTTAATTTGAGGTGTCGGATATTTTGTCTCAGCAACGAGAGAAACGTAACTAAGACCTCCTGTGTCCTTTTTTGTGGAATCCAGTGTCTGTTCCCTGCCCTGCCGGGAGTATCACTGGTCATGGCCCAGCTGTTCGCTCCCAAGGAATCTGCTCCATGTGAGATTACAACTCTTGCTGGAGTAGTCCACACTCAGTAATGCTTAGCTTGGGGACAGAGAAGACACA